ATTTCAGGTGCATACTATTGCTTCAACCTGGTTATGGTAGTCCTGTACATCATAATCTCAATGTTTGTATTGAACATGTGTACCACCCTGTATATCTGAATTGTATTTCATGTGCATACTATTGCTTCAACCTGGTTATGGTAGTCCTGTACATCATAATCTCAATGTTTGTATTGAACATGTGTACCACCCTGTATATCTGAATTGTATTTCAGGTGCATACTATTGCTTCAACCTGGTTATGGTAGTCCTGTACATCATAATATCAATGTTTGTATTGAACATGTGTACCACCCTGTATATCTGAATTGTATTTCAGGTGCATACTATTGCTTCAACCTGGTTATGGTAGTCCTGTACATCATAATCTCAATGTTTGTATTGAACATGTGTACCACCCTGTATATCTGAATTGTATTTCAGGTGCATACTATTACTCCAACCTGGTTATGGTAGTCCTGTACATCATAATCTCAATGTTTGTATTGAACATGTGTACCACCCTGTATATCTGAATTGTATTTCAGGTGCATACTATTGCTTCAACCTGGTTATGGTAGTCCTGTACATCATAATCTCAATGTCTGTATTGAACATGTGTACCACCCTGTATATCTGAATTGTATTTCAGGTCCATACTATTGCTTCAACCTGGTTGTGGTAGTCCTATCCATCATTATCTCAATGTTTGTATTGAACATGTGTACCACCCTGTATATCTGAATTGTATTTCAGGTGCTTACTATTGCTTCAACCTGGTTATGGTAGTCCTATCTATCATTATCTCAATGTTTGTATTTGAACATGTGTATCACCCTGTATATCTGAATTGTATTTCAGATGCTCACTATTGCTTCAATTACCTGGTTATGGTAGTCCTATCCATCATTATCTCAATGTTTGTATTGAACATGTGTACCACCCTGTATATCTGAATTGTATTTCAGGTGCTTACTATTGCTTCAACCTGGTTATGGTAGTCCTAACCATCATTATCTCAATGTTTGTATTGAACATGTGTACCACCGTGTATATCTGAATTGTATTTCAGGCGCTTACTATTGCTTCAACCTGATTATGGTACTCCTATCAATCATCATCTCAATGTTTGTATTGAACATGTGTACCACCCTGTATATCTTAATTGTATTTCAGGTGCATACTATTGCTTTAACCTGGTTATGGTAGTCCTATCCATCATTATCTCAATGTTTGTATTGAACATGTGTACCACCCTGTATATCTGAATTGTATTTCAGATGCTCACTATTGCTTCAACCTGGTTATGGTAGTCCTATCCATCATTATCTCAATGTTTGTATTGAACATGTGTACCACCCTGTATATCTGAATTGTATTTCAGGTGCTTACTATTGCTTCAACCTGGTTATGGTAGTCCTAACCATCATTATCTCAATGTTTGTATTGAACATGTGTACCACCGTGTATATCTGAATTGTATTTCAGGCGCTTACTATTGCTTCAACCTGATTATGGTACTCCTATCAATCATCATCTCAATGTTTGTATTGAACATGTGTACCACCCTGTATATCTTAATTGTATTTCAGGTGCATACTATTGCTTTAACCTGGTTATGGTAGTCCTATCCATCATTATCTCAATGTTTGTATTTGAACATGCGTACCACCCTGTATATCTTAATTGTATTTCAGGTGCTTACTATTGTTTCAACCTGGTTATGGTAGTCCTGTACATCATAATCTCAATGTTTGTATTGAACATGTGTACCACCCTGTATATCTGAATTGTATTTCAGGTGCTTACTATTGCTTCAACCTGGTTATGGTAGTCCTATCCATCATTATCTCAATGTTTGTATTTGAACATGCGTACCACCCTGTATATCTTAATTGTATTTCAGGTGCTTACTATTGTTTCAACCTGGTTATGGTAGTCCTATCCATCATTATCTCAATGTTTGTATTTGAACATGTGTAGCACCCTGTATATCTGAATTGTATTTCAGGTGCTTACTATTGCTTCAACCTAGTTATGGTAGTCCTATCCATCATCATCTCAATGTTTGTATTGAACATGTGTACCACCCTGTATATCTGAATTGTATTTCAGGTGCTTACTATTGCTTCAACCTAGTTATGGTAGTCCTATCCATCATCTCAATGTTTGTATTGAACATGTGTACCACCCTGTATATCTGAATTGTATTTCAGGTGCATACTATTGCTTCAACCTGGTTATGGTAGTCCTATCCATCATCTCAATGTTTGTATTGAACATGTGTACCACCCTGTATATCTGAATTGTATTTCAGGTGCTTACTATTGCTTCAACCTGGTTATGGTAGTCCTATCCATCATTATCTCAATGTTTGTATTAAACATGTGTACCACCCTGTATATTTGAATTGTATTTCAGGTGCATACTATTGCTTCAACCTGGTTATGGTAGTACTATCCATCATTATCTCAATGTTTGTATTGAACATGTGTACCACCCTGTATATCTGAATTGTATTTCAGGTGCTTACTATTGCTTCAACCTGGTTATGGTAGTCCTATCCATCATTATCTCAATGTTTGTATTGAACATGTGTACCACCCTGTATATTTGAATTGTATTTCAGGTGCTTACTATTGCTTCAACCTGGTTATGGTAGTCCTATCCATCATCTCAATGTTTGTATTGAACATGTGTACCACCCTGTATATCTGAATTGTATTTCAGGTGCATACTATTGCTTCAACCTGGTTATGGTAGTCCTATCCATCATCTCAATGTTTGTATTGAACATGTGTACCACCCTGTATATCTGAATTGTATTTCAGGTGCTTACTATTGCTTCAACCTGGTTATGGTAGTCCTATCCATCATTATCTCAATGTTTGTATTAAACATGTGTACCACCCTGTATATCTGAATTGTATTTCAGGTGCTTACTATTGCTTCAACCTGGTTATGGTAGTCCTATCCATCATTATCTCAATGTTTGCATTGAACATGTGTACCACCTTGTATATCTGAATTGTATTTCAGGTGCATACTATTGCTTCAACCTGGTTATGGTAGTCCTGTACATCATTATCTCAATGTTTGTATTGAACATGTGTACCACCCTGTATATTTGAATTGTATTTCAGGTGCATACTATTGCTTCAACCTGGTTATGGTAGTCCTATCCATCATCATCTCAATGTTTGTATTGAACATGTGTACCACCCTGTATATCTGAATTGTATTTCAGGTGGTTACTATTGCTTCAACCTGGTTATGGTAGTCCTATCCATCATCTCAATGTTTGTATTGAACATGTGTACCACCCTGTATATCTGAATTGTATTTCAGGTGCTTACTATTGCTTCAACCTGGTTATGGTAGTCCTATCCATCATCTCAATGTTTGTATTGAACATGTGTACCACCCTGTATATCTGAATTGTATTTCAGGTGCATACTATTGCTTCAACCTGGTTATGGTAGTCCTGTACATCATTATCTCAATGTTTGTATTGAACATGTGTACCACCCTGTATATTTGAATTGTATTTCAGGTGCATACTATTGCTTCAACCTGGTTATGGTAGTCCTATCCATCATCTCAATGTTTGCATTGAACATGTGTACCACCCTGTATATCTGAATTGTATTTCAGATGCTTACTATTGCTTCAACCTGGTTATGGTAGTCCTATCCATCATCTCAATGTTTGTATTGAACATGTGTACCACCCTGTATATCTGAATTGTATTTCAGGTGCTTACTATTGCTTCAACCTGGTTATGGTAGTCCTATCCATCATCTCAATGTTTGTATTGAACATGTGTACCACCCTGTATATCTGAATTGTATTTCAGGTGCTTACTATTGCTTCAACCTGGTTACGGTAGTCCTATCCATCATCTCAATGTTTGTATTGAACATGTGTACCACCCTGTATATCTGAATTGTATTTCAGGTGCTTACTATTGCTTCAACCTGGTTATTGTAGTCCTATCCATCATTATTTCAATGTTTGCATTGAACATGTGTACCACCTTGTATATCTGAATTGTATTTCAGGTGCATACTATTGCTTCAACCTGGTTATGGTAGTCCTATCCATCATCATCTCAATGTTTGTATTGAACATGTGTACCACCCTGTATATTTGAATTGTATTTCAGGTGCATACTATTGCTTCAACCTGGTTATGGTAGTCCTATCCATCATCATCTCAATGTTTGTATTGAACATGTGTACCACCCTGTATATCTGAATTGTATTTCAGGTGCTTACTATTGCTTCAACCTGGTTATGGTAGTCCTATCGATCAGCATCTCAATGTTTGTATTGAACATGTGTACCACCCTGTATATCTGAATTGTATTTCAGGTGCTTACTATTGCTTCAACCTGGTTATGGTAGTCCTATCCATCATTATCTCAATGTTTGTATTGAACATGTGTACCACCCTGTATATCTGAATTGTATTTCAGATGCATACTATTGCTTCAACCTGGTTATGGTAGTCCTAACCATCATTATATCAATGTTTGTACTGAACATGTGTACCACCGTGTATATCTGAATTGTATTTCAGGTGCATTATATTGCTTCAACCTGGTCATGGTAGTACTATCGATCATTATCTCAATGTTTGTATTGAACATGTGTACCACCCTGTCTATCTGAATTGTATTTCAGGTGCATTATATTGCTTCAACCTGGTTATGGTAGTACTATCCATCATTATCTCAATGTTTGTATTGAACATGTGTACCACCCTGTATATCTGAATTGTATTTCAGGTGCTTACTATTGCTTCAACCTGGTTACGGTAGTCCTATCCATCATCTCAATGTTTGTATTGAACATGTGTACCACCCTGTATATCTGAATTGTATTTCAGGTCCATACTATTGCTTCAACCTGGTTATGGTAGTCCTATCCATCATTATCTCAATGTTTGTATTGAACATGTGTACCACCCTGTATATCTGAATTGTATTTCAGGGGTGCTTACTATTGCTTCAACCGGGTTATGGTAGTCCTATCCATCATTATCTCAATGTTTGTATTGAACATGTGTACCACCCTGTATATCTGAATTGTATTTCAGGTGCTTACTATTGCTTCAACCTGGTTATGGTAGTCCTATCCATCATTATCTCAATGTTTGTATTTAACATGTGCGTCAGAGGGCCAAGAAGGGGAAGTGCACCAAACTGGCTGAAGTCGGTATGTTTAGAATTATGTACAGAATAATTATACAGTTAAACCTATCTTCGTGAACACCTACCTCTAGTGAACACCTTTTATAGAGAACACCCCATCTGAGCACGTACTCCACTGAATTCTGTATAAATTAATAAACAAATGAGCACACTGTAGTGAACACCTACCTTTAGTGAACACATTTTTGTGGCTCCGTGGGTGTTCACTGTGTTTTACTCTAAATTTGGATATTTTTACAGGCACCAATACCAAAATGGCAGTCCCAAAAATATATTGCCTTTAACAATATTTCACCTTTTTTTTTTCTTTTTTTTTTTTTTATTTTATTTTTTTATTTATATATATATTTATTTTCTTTAATTTTCATTTACAATCTACAATACATCACAATGCGCACACATAAGCACAACTTTTGGTACTTTAAGAAGTCAAAAGAGCTACCTTGTGATAGCGGAACTATAAAAATACAATAATTGGAACATGTACAACATGAACATTGCATACAGGTACATAGAAATATAAAAATACAATACGGTAATAAAATACAAGGTACAGTACAGTTTTTTGTTAAAACGGTATCTCTAATTTGTTAAGAATAGAATTCCATTTTCTAATAAAGAGTGGCCTAGTCTGATTTTCTGTTGATATTCTTAATTCGTTTTTTATTTTGTTTCTTATGATATTTTTAAACACATTTATGTTGATAAACAATATCAACAATATTTCACCACTGACTTCTTGGTTGTAATATAAACACGCGTGATAAAATAAATTTTGAAAAATCAACAACTATTCAGTAACTTTGAGGCAAGAGGGAGGGGGCAATATAAAATGTAGTTGATCATGGATTGAGGATCCACCTAGAGATATTCCTGGGGAATACTCCTCATTCTAAAAATACATATAATGAGCACTAAACGAAAATAAACAAATGAAAGGTGGATCCTCTGACTTGACATGTCATTTACAAACATCAAATATTTACCGCACACATATACTATTATGATATAGAGAAATAGAAAGTTTCTTGATATATTTTAGCTTGTTCACGGTAAGCTGGGTTCCCTGTGTTGCGTTCGAGAAGAAATGTACTCCCCATTGGTCCACTTTGAACACAGAGATGACGACGAAGCTCAGCTCACGTCAAATATTGTCAGAAATAATGACACCGATGAAATGACCGATCTGAACACAAACAAGCTTGATAAAACATTGACGGAGATCTTGGGATATTTGAAGAGCTCCAATCAAGATCCTCGTCCATCGGTCGCGAGTAAATCTCAGGCACGACATGGAAATCTGAAATTATAGAGGGCGCATATTCATTTTACACACGGCGAAATGAAATGAGATTTCCCGGGAAATTTTGGACAATACTAGTATATTAATAGTCTATTGTACATTGTACAACCACATTTGACCAGCACGATCACAAATCACATAGGGACCAATTAATATGCTCTAAAACAATCAACCACGTACTGACCGAGCTTAGTAAAGAAAAAATATCAAGGTAAATCACTTATGATCAGGAACAATCACCTAAACCAGGGACAATCAACTAAGATTAGAACAATTGAGTACAATCACAGTATCAAAACAAAATATTAAGAATCACAACCAAACAATTGCCCAGGAGAGTCAAGAAAAATTTAAAGTAATAAAAACAATCACTTAAGATTAAGAACAATCACCTGTAAAATTGTTTAGGATCGACCCAATCCCTAAGGATCAAGACAGATACCAAAGATCAAGATCATGAGGATATTTCTAAGGATCAAAAACATTATCACTTAAGATCAATAACAATCACCTAGGATCAAGATTAATCACTTAGAATTAAGAACACCAAGGGCTCAGAAGAAATTTTTGGATCGGGAAAAATCACTTAGTGTGCTGTTAATGGGTTTAATGTAACTTAAAAGTCCAATATAAGATGAGATATAATGCATTTTTATTTGAGAAATAAATACTATAACTTGACAGACATCTAGCAGCCCCTCGGCTATTGGCTAAAACACATCACGTGGTACAAAAGTAGGTCGAATTTGTGTAGTCCCGCCATATTTAGACAGACTTCCGGTACAAGTGCACTTGGATTTGCGCCCTCTATAATTTCAGATTTCCATGTCGTGCCTGAGATTTACTCGCGACCCTCGTCCATCACCTGCGCAAGTTAACCAGGACGAGTGGTACAAGGCTGCATTGATGCTTGATCGCATTGCACTCATGTTGTACATCATCGTTTGTATCATAGGATCTATATGTATACTTTTGTAACTGTACCTGCTATACCAATATCATAGGATCTATATGTATACTTTTGTAACTGTACCTGCTATACCAATATCATAGTATCTATACGTATACTTTTGTAACTGTACCTGCTATACCAGTATTATAGGATCTATACGTATACTTTTGTAACTGTACCTGCTATACCTGTATCATAGGATCAATATGTATACTTGTGTAACTGTACCTGCTATACCAATATCATAGGATCTATATGTATACTTTTGTAACTGTACCTGCTATACCAGTATCATAGGATCTATATGTATACTTTTGTAACTGTACCTGCTATACCAATATCATAGGATCAATATGTATACTTTTGTAACTGTACCTGCTATACCAATATCATAGGATCTATATGTATACTTTTGTAACTGTACCTGCTATACCAGTATCATAGGATCTATACGTATACTTTTGTAACTGTACCTGCTATACCAGTATTATAGGATCAATATGTATACTTTTGTAACTGTACCTGCTATACCAGTATTATAGGATCAATATGTATACTTTTGTAACTGTACCTGCTATACCAGTATCATAGGATCGATAAGAATACTTTTGTAACTGTACCTGCTATACCAGTATCATAGGATCAATATGTATACTTTTGTAACTGTACCTTCTATACCAGTGGAAACATGGTCCAAACTGTCACGTTTCAGTGGTACAAGGCTGCATTGATGCTTGATCGCATTGCACACGTGTTGTACATCATCGTTTGTATCATAGGATCAATATGTATACTTTTGTATAATAATATAATTTTAGTATAGAACTGATAAGGGTCGCATCTGTGGTATGGAAAAGACTCATCGAAAACGCATTTCCTTTTTGTGATCGATATGGGTTCACTTTATTTTTTATATTAGCGCTCTATCTCTCCTTATTGTTAGATAGTTGATAATACGTAAATTATAGTGTGAAGCAGTGAAAATAGAAGTATATGAAACCTTAATTGAAAATAAGCATTCAAATGATCGCAGGGCAACATATATTAGTATTCCATACCTGATGAGGTTTCAGGGACATATCAACCGGGAATATATTCCATATCCGGGCAAATATTTTTCGTATGTCCCGCTCCATCGGAGCTCCGGGACATATAAAGCATATGTCCCGCACAAGCCGTCCTCCGGGACATACGATGGCTGTATGTCCCGCCCCGGGAATTTACGTCATATATAGTACACCATGCCTTCATCATATAGTCAGGCACATTAAAATCAAGTTAAAATAAGGCGCCGCATCATTGAAAGTAGTGAATCAGAAAATGCTCAGTAATCAGTATTTGGAGTTAGGATATCCACCTCTGGGATATTGATGATATCTCAACCCTGGAAGACATTCAAGTGTTATAATCTAGACATTCAAGTTCAATTTCTAATGTTAAACATTTTACAATTTAATTGTATTTATAAAATTGTTAATATATTGTGAGAAATACACATCAAGTCTTTTTAAAATGATTATATATTTTGCAATTTAACACACCAGAGCATATGGGATACATGCTTATTGTTTAAAACCTCATCAGGTATGGAATACAACAGTTATGCACGGTCGGTTTGGATACATGGAATATCCCTTGGGATATTCCCTGTATCCAAAACCTCCCAGTGCATAACCCCTATTTATGATATTGAGCTTTTTGCCATATACCCCGCATACATAGAGGTTATCTACTTGGAGGGATTCAATATGGATTTTATTCCGAGGAACAATATGATACAATTCCCGAAATAAAATTAGTGAAAACTACTGGGTATAGGATAAAGCAGCTATGCAGGGTCGGTTTGGAAATGGGGTTCATCCCTCGGAAGATATGCATATCTAATATTGGTCTCAACGGTCCCTCAGGTAGATATGCATATCTCCCTCTGGATAAATCCCATATCCCATATCCAAAACGTCATAGTACATAACCCCTATTTATGTACAGTAAAACTACTATGGTCTACTGAACTGCAGTCCTTTGATTTTAAGGTTTGATCGACTTGCGTTTTTACTGCATCTGGCATCTGGCTGTAATTTCAATTTTTCAGGGTATCGTTCTATTGTGATTTCTTAACTTTGCTCGATGCAACAGGACAACGATATCGAATTAAAAGAAGTGAGCTTGCCACTTAGTTTATTAGAACTACGTTAACGAAGTGATATATACGTTATACAAAGGATAAATATTCATATAACTGAATAATTGTTCACTTAAATCATATGTATCAACGATTGAAACAAGTTTTGACATAAAGTCACGTTAAATAAATGATTTAAAGAAGATCAGAAATGTTTTAACATTCATCGAAGTTGATTTATCCCGGCCATTAATAATAAGGTAATTATTAATAAATAAGGTAAAGTTACGCGATTAATCCAAGACATGTAAATGTTTTACAAAATATCAATACTACATAATAAAAGAATACAGAAATACATTTTTTTAATATTGTATGTGTATAGTTCAGTGACTAATGCCCAGTTCACATATGCGCCGGGCGCCGGCCGATGAGTAGCCATCGGCCGATTTATAAATCGACCGGGCGCCGGTGACTTTCCCCCGATATCTTGATTTCGCATGTTTGTATTCATCCAATGACAGGTTCAAGCGGGGATCCAATTGGCGATGATATTCTGCATGCATTTCACAAAAAATATGACAACCGAAGACATCATGTCTTTGTTTCCAGTTGATCCGCAGTGAATATGAACCTAGACTCCATACTGACCACTACTAAAATGAATAAAACCATGGCAAATAGAAAAGAAATATTGTTTTAAAGAATGAGATCGGGTTGAATTTTAAAGGCGTATTTACAAGTCAATTTGTCACTGAAGCTGGAGGCTCGTACGACTAGCAGTAAGTGGTGCCCCAATCATGCAAAGGTTTTACGATGAGAAAATATTTTCATAATGATAAATGAATATATAATTGGTTGTACTTGTGCATTATGAAAACATGATTTGTACTTGATTGTCCATGTCTTAAGAAAGAACGTGAGTCCTTTTGATTGTCGAGGATTGCTTTTGTCAGGAAAAGAGTTATGGTCATTAATTGTGCTTGACTTATTCTAGTCCCGGATTGTGCTTGACTGATTGTGCTTAATGAATGAACGACATTCCTTGATTGTGCTTGATTAATTGTGCCTCGTGAATGAATGATAGTTCATGTTTCTTTTGATTGATTTAGCTATGAAAACGATAATTATTGATTGTGTTTGACTGATTTTACATCGAGAGAGTACTATGTTTATTTTACTATGCTTGACTATTTGTACTTGAACTTAGACTATTTCTACTTGATTGTGCATAACATTTTTTGGGTTCAAGAAAGAGCGATTTGCCTTGATTGTCCCTGATTGTCCATGCTTCGAGTAGGAACAATAGCCCTCTATTTAGTGTATACTCATGTCCAGGGGCGTAGCCAGCTTTCAATCAGGGGGCGGGGAGCAGGGTGCGATCGCTCATTCGAGGGGGTGCGATTGTGGCATAAACGAGCCAAAAAGAAGATTTATTTTGAATTTTACAGGATTGATGCAACTTCCTTCAAAATTGAGCTTGAAGCTTCAAATAAAACGCATTTTTAAGCTCTTTTCCTCTTCTTTCTCATGATTTTAATTTTTATTGGTTATGGTTATGGTTATTTGATCACACCCATGGCACCCCTCCCTCCGGCTTCGCCTATGCTGTCCTTGATTGATTGTGTCTCGAGAATTGTTGTTTGGCGAATTTTTGTCATATTGCGATTCAAAATAAACTGTATCCAATAAGATATGGTATTTTCTGCCATTTGGCTCCCTTTTACGACAACTTCAATGCAACGTATAATTTTGAATAAATAATATTTTGTGTATAGAGAGTTGCGTTGATGAGTTCGGCAATATCTCCTGTTTGTCAACGTTTGCTGTTCACTGATTATAATCAGTGTATGATTATCATAAAACCACTCCAGCTCATACGTAATAATGATTTGAGTGCGATTTTAGAGGCAATGATATATTTTTGGATGCATTATTAGGATTAGTTTTAACTACAACCGTAAACAATGCAGCATATAGTCCAGAATTATATAGAAAAGTTCATTCGCATACGTGTGTGCGCCGTTGACTAAACGAATCAGTTCTACATGTAATAAGTATCACTACAACACATATAAAGTAAATTTTAAAAAATGTTGCGCTAACAGCTAAAATGTGAAAGGAATTCAACAACTTCTATCGTACACAAAGACAATTTAATTGTCAACAATTTTTAAGCATTTTTAAGCATTCAAATAAAATACCAAAACAGCTCAACTTTTGTTTTGGTGATTTCGGCAGTTAAACTCTCACGCTTAGAATTTTTATGATAGCAACTGTAATTAATACAAACCTTTCGCTGTCAAAGAAGTCGTCTTCCGTCATCTCGGCTGTTTGATATGGTAAGTACGTTATATTTCTAAAACTAAATTAGGTCAAAAGCTTAAAAACCCTGTTATAGGTAACACTCTTAGAATGTTAAGTTCTGAAACAAGCCAAGCTAAACTTTATTTGACTTTTATTGATTGTTTATTCATCTTTTTTCACATACCAATGAACAGTTTTAACATTTCTTCTTAATTAGCACTAAATATAACCTTGATATTGCTGTTAATTGCAATGCACACTGGATTACTGGATAATTAAAATTTATTTAATTATATATAATTTATATCATCAAAATCCTACTGTAAGTGGTTATTTTACCTAATCATTTTATTTGCCTTGCCTAATTTTTGTCAGGTTCAAAAAATAAAATGTCGGAAATATCATCTTCACGATGCAATGAAAAGTTTCTTGTCATTAGAAAAATCAAAATTAGGAAAATGATATTATTTGACCATTCGGCAAATTAAACACTTGGTTCGAATACCACTTAAGCAGTATTTAATAAATTAATTTTTAATAATTTCAATTATTTGTAGACTTATTCGATTCAGCAATAAACTGATACAAACCAGTGGGATTATCTCGACTTTGGGAACCTGAACGACACCTGCTCAATGGGAGCTTTTTTCCGGTTGATGCTGTATGCCTTAGTATTGGTGAATACAATCACGGCGGAAGGTAAGCACCTCGTTGTTACTTTAAACTAGAGACGACTTCCTTGCAGCTTTTAAAACGCTTTCAAAATAGTTTTTGGTACAACATTCCATGGCTTGCCTGTATTCTAGGGTCCGACAGTTCTGACTTTATTTTCTAATGTTATTACGATGCTTTGATTTTAGGTTATAATATTATCTTAAAGCAATTCTTTTTAAGTTAATCCATTTGCCATATTTGCTTCTTTTATCTTCAAACATGGACAAATGTACCCCCTCCTACTATGGAATACGTGTACAACCCGAGTCACGTATGCTACGGCGAGCGTACGCTTTCTGTCTTTTATTTCTATGGACAATAGCAATATGATACGTTTCTATATGCCTGAATAAAGTTGATGTAATTGATGTCTACCTTGTATATTTTCTGTTTTGGTTGGCCCAGACTGCCATATACTTCCATGTTATAAACTTGAATTAGTCACATAATTCAAGAAAAAGTTTTGGTTGAATCTGTTTGAAACTCGAATGGTATACTATGGGATGACCCTGTCAATATACCTATTGTGATTAATCATGAATATTTTGATTTTAGCATTTCATAAATGGAGATTTTTTAGAAGAGTTGAAAAGTCATAGAAAACTGTTTAAAGGACATCATTCAGAGCAATGATAAAACTTTTCTATTGAGTAACTGTCTTTGAAAGTCTATGGTTTGATACTTTTGCAGTCACATTTGCTAGGGTAGCCATGCTTCATATTTTTATTTTGTGGAAAAACTACGGTTGCCATACGTCATATTTTGATTTTGAGAAGATAGAGAAGCTATGGTTGCAATGCGTCATATCTTAATTTTGTGAAAAACTACGGTAGCCATACGTCAGATTTTGATTTTGTAAAGATAGCAAAACAACGATTGACATGGGTCATATTTTTATTTTGTGGAAAAACTACTGTTGCCATACGTTATATTTTGATCTTGGGAAGATAGAGAAGCTATGGTTGCAATGCGTCATATCTTGATTTTGTGAAAAACTATGGTAGCCATACGTCAGATTTTGATTTTGAAAAGGTAGCAAAATAACGATTGACATGGGTCATATTTTTATTTTGTGGAAAAACTACAGTTGCCATACGTCATATTTTGATTTTGCGAAGCCAGAAAAACTACGGTTGCCATGCTTCATATTTTGATTTTGTGAAAAACTACGGTTGCCACACGTCATATTTTGATTTTAGAAGATAGAGAAGCTACGGTTGCAATGCGTCATATATTGATTTTGTGAAAAACTACGGTTGTCATACGTCATATTTTGATCTTTTGAAGATAGAAAGAATACGGTTGCCATGCGTCATATTTTGTGAAAAACTACAGTTATCATACGTCATATTTTGATTTTATGAAAAAGTACGTTATATTTTGATTTTGTGAAAATCTATGGTTTGCAAAGGGTGTTCGTATGCAGGGCGAGCGCAATCGTCTTTAGTTTAATTGCAATTCAAAAAGGTCAATACAGATGCTAGCGCTGGTTCAATTGTCATCCTTATATTTAGATGCATGCCCAAATGGCTACAGATACCAGGGCTGGTTCCATAATCGTCCTTATATTTCAGATGCATGCCCAAATGGCTACAGATACTATAGGGCTGGTTCAATTGTCGTCTTTTTATTTCAGATTTATTCCCAGATGGCTATAGATACTAGGGCTGGTTCCAGTGATGTCTTAATATTTCAAATGCATGCCCAAATGGCTACACATATTAGTGCTGGTTCTATTGTCGTCTTTATATTTCAGATTTATGCAAAGATGGCTATAGATACTAGGATTGGTTCCATTGTCGTCTTTATATTTCAGATGCATGCCTAAATGGCTTCAGATACTAGCACTGGTTCCACTGTCGTCTTTACAATTTCGGATGCATGCCCAAATGGCTGCAGATGCTAGCGCTGGTTCAGTTTTCGTCTTTATATTTCATATTATGTAGTATGCACAAATGGCTACAAATGCCAGAGCTGGTTCTACTGCCGTCTTTATATTTCAGATGCATGCCCAAATGGCTACAGATACTAGCGCTTGTTCCATTGTCGTCTTGATATTTCAGATGCATGCCCAAATGGCTATATATACTAGTGCTGATTCCATTGTCGTCTTAATATTTCAGATGCATGCCCAAATGGCTACATATGCTAGAGCTGCTTCCATTGTCGTCTTAATATTTCAGATGCATGCCCAAATGGCTACATGTGCTAGGGCTGCTTCCATTGTCGTCCCAATACTCAGATGCATGCCCTTATGGCTATAGGTACTAGGGCTGGTTCCAATGTCGTCTTTATATTTCAGATGCATGCCCAAATGGCTACGGATACTAGCAGGGCTGGTTCCAATGTCGTCTTTATATTTCAGATGCATGCCCAAATGTCTACATATACTAGAACTGGTTCAATTGTCGTCTTTATATTTAAATGCATGCCCAAATGGCTACATATACTAGAACTGGTTCAATTATCGTCTTTATATTTAAATGCATGCCCAAATGGCTACATATGCTAGGGCTGTTTCCATTGTGGTCTTTATATTTCAGATGCATGCCCAAATGGCTGGTATGCGTATCAATGTACAGGCAGATGTTACGAGTTGTTTACATTTTGTCTTCAGATTCATGAACAAATGGCTACATATGCTAGGGCTGCTTCCATTGTGGTTTTTATATTTCAGATGCATGCCCAAATGGCTGGTATGCGTATCAATGCACAGGCAGATGTTACGGGTTGTTTACATTTTATCTTCAGATTCATGAAAAAATGGCAACATATGCTACGGGTTGACCGGATTTTTCGTCTTTTTTATTTCAGATGCATGCCCAAATGGTTGGTACGAATGTAATGGAAGGTGCTATGGGTTGTTCATCAATCAAACCCACAATTTGACATGGGTTGAAGCGAGAGAAAGCTGCTGGTCTAAAGATGCCTTCCTGGCTGCAATAACAAACGATCGTGAATATGGGAGAGAGGAAGAGGCATGCATGAAGGAAACGCTGCACAACTGGAATAATACGGAACCGCTCTTGTATATTGCACATAAACCGCAGCAATCTGTATACGCAGGTACCATTTCAATTATTTTTCACTGGTTATTGATATCAAACATGCAATATAAGAAAATTTGGCGTCGCCCTTGATTAACTTTTAACAATTGGAAATTAATAAGAAATCATAGTTTTAATTTATACTCCTCCCACTATCAAATTACAATAAACATTATTTTTGCTTATCTTACTTCTCATCCGCTCCTTGAGCTGGGGAAAATCGTATATGGGGGCGATATCACCGTACCCATTATCACCCCAGTATCACCCACCCAGCAGATTAATGGCATTTTTCGTCACTGATTTAACGGGAATTTATACGTAAATCGATCTAGCACTTTAAACATAAATGACAAATACTTTAGACTCGTTTTATATTTAATTCCTTACGCATTTATCATGTATAATTCAAAATATTTCGAGATAAAACAGATAATCAGGAGATTAAAAAGAAATAAACCACAAACTGCGCGCCTATTTTAGCCAGAAATTACAAACTGTGTGCATACACTATTAAAACTACATATTATCATTTGAATTTCTACAGAGGCATGTAAAGGTGTTTTTCATATAGCTTTGGAAATTTTGCTTTATCGTCAGATTTTATGAGATTTTCATCTTGAAAGTCAAAATGTATAATAGAAGTGACAATTAAGTTGGGAACGAAAGAAAGTTTTTTATTTTCAGATCACCATCTTGGTGGATGGACTCTCATAGTGTTTCAATTATGGGGTTCTGCTATTAGACACATATGTGCCTTACATATGGCGCTTACGTTTTCTAATAATACAAAACAAGCTTGGATAGGCAAGTTTGGAAATATTAGGCACGCAGTTTGGGAAATACATGTGAATATAGGCGCGCATTTTGACAAGAAAAATGTTTAAATCACGTTTATGGCGTATTATCGTTTTGAACACAAACTATTCTGCTATAATCAAATGGAGTGATCCTATATATTCTAGCATACACAGACACAATGGCTGAATAAACGGCATATGACGATAAAAATACAAAGATATAACTTTACACTGTAAATTTTGAGCACAGAAGTTACTTAAGACCCTTATATTGAGATAACTAGGTTAACATCGGGAATAACATTGAGTACTAAGAGAATGGTACTATCTTTAGAACGAGACTTACCTTGTATTTTCGTATTTTGGCTCTTTTTGGGAGTCCTGTCCTCCCCGTCTTCCATTTTGAAATATGCGCGCAGTTTGTCAGAGTTTCAAACTGCGTGCCTAGTAGGCACGCTGCTTGACATGGGCATCGTGGATATATGGCAGAGAATATATGAAGTTTAACAGTTACATTCAACGGTCATTAGAAATCGTTGTTTTGTCAAACTGTAAATTATTTTTTTCTGAAAATGAAATTAATATTGCAAAATTAAAATTTGGTATAATACCTCTTTCACTCCCTATCTCTTCCAATCTCCTTCCATGCGCTTCATTTCCAGGTTTGATGACTGGAGCTAGAACGTGCGACTTGATGGTAACAACTATAAATCCTATGTGAATCATTGGTATATAATACCATTTCACTCCCTTTCCCTTCCAATCTCCTTCCATGCGCTTCATTTTCAGGTTTGATGACTGGAGCTAGAACATGCGACTTGATGGTGAGAACTATAAATCCTATGAAAACATCCGAGGTCAACATTACATGGAGGCAAGCAGAATGTAAAGCAAATGTCACTGATACGTTCATGTGTGTAAAGATCAAGAAAGACGGTCCAGATCAGGCTACAAAAACCACAGCATGTCCAGCACGACGGCCGTGCTCGTGCACCAAACCTAAGAGATATCAGTTGCAAGAAGGAGAAATCAATTGCGAAAATGTAGAACTGTACACAATGCCAATAGGAATATCACTAGATGTGAAAGGCGTGTTTGCAAGAAAGAACAAAATACGTTACATAGAAAATGGAATGTTTCATGGAATGCCAAATCTCAAACGTTTAGATCTTAGTTCTAATGAGATACATGAAATATCCTCGTTCGGATTCAAAGGGCTGCGTAAACTCGAACGGCTCAGTATAATTGACAATAAGAAACGACTGAAGGTGGGGAATAGATCATTTGAAGGATTACACAAGTTGAAGGATTTGCGTCTATATGATTCTTTGTTGGAATATCCAATAAACAGTAAACCGTTTTATAATTTAACTTCACTGGAGGGATTAGACATTACAGGATGTGGTATTAAAGATATAGAAGATGTTTTTCTTCCTAATCCAGACCTGTTACAACGCTTAGACATAGGGCAACTAGATAAATTCAATGTTATGTTCAGACGCCCAACAGACTACAGTAACCTGTTGAGGCTATATGTAAAACACGTTTCAAAAAATGAGACAATATCAGCTGGACAATTTAATGGGTTGAATAAACTAAAGTATCTTCATCTCGGAAATATAGATGTACCACTTCTGAAACCGGCAATGTTTGAGGGTCTTGATGCACTGACAGACTTGAGTATTTGGAATTGTCATATCCTTATAATCGAGCCACACGTGTTTACACAAATTAGAAATATTGAATTCATAATGATCGTCCAAAAAACATTGCCGAAATACCCAGTGTCCTTATTTCAAGGACTAGAGAAATTGACTCAAGTTAGCAGCGATCATGAGGAATTCTGCTGCATCGTTCCAACAACAGTTAAATACTGTTACCCAAGGCTAGACCACCTGTCTTCGTGTGGAGACCTAGTGAAGAACAACATACTGAGGGTATCACTGTGGACATTTGGTATATGTATACTCCTTGGAAACAGTGCCGTAATTTTATACCGCTACAGGGAAGCCGGAACGCAGTACAATTATATAAACAGGATATTGATAATGAATCTTTCATTATCTGATATGATTATGGGAGTATACATTATCATAATTGCTGTGATGGATATGAAATACAGAGACATCTACTTTCAAAACCTTGGTATTTGGACCAAAAGTCGCCTGTGCATGGCTTCTGGATTCATTGCATCATTGTCAAGTGAGATGTCTGTGTATATCCTCGTTGTCATGACGCTTGACCGGTTCCTCAAAATAGTTTTTCCCTTTAAAGTGTGGTTACACTTTTCCAAGCGTGTTGTACATGGTGTTCTCATCGTTGGCTGGACTCTTTGCATAACTTTAACAGCTTTACCACTTATTCCGCTTGATTACTTCAGACCTCATGAATTCTACACGCAGTCTGGCTTCTGCTTACCACTTATGTTGAATTATGATCCTTCAAAAGAAGCCACGTTAAACGCACGTAAAAGCACCGGATTGGAGGACGGCATTGCTTTAAACAGACAAAGACAGCAAACTTACTCCCATTTTAACGGTTGGGAGTATTCTTTTGCTCTCTTTAATGTTGTCAATCTTTTAGCCTTTCTTCTTATAGCTGCTGGCTACTTGGCTATATTTGTTGCTACTATGATCTCTAAATCAAAATCCAAACAAGGCTCGGGACAAGAGCAAGAAAGGAGGATGGCGTTAAAACTGATGTGGATCGTGGGTACCGACTTCTGCTGCTGGGTTCCAGTAATAATCATGGGATTCCTAACCTATTACAAGGTAGCGCTCCCAGGTTGGTTGCACATGCTCTTGTATTACCTCAGTATTTAACGTTATATCAATATGGATAAGCATCAACAATGTAATTCTCATTACTCTGATATTTTCAAATCATAATACTAGTACCGGTCTTTAACTTCCACTATGTAGTTTATATAAAAAACAATGATATCTAACTTACAACTAAACTTTGAATACCAAACTGTATAAAAACACAGATGGACAATGAATTGGGAAGGAAACAATGCCATGAAGTCTTATCAATGATATCTGACTTCCAACGAAACCATATTTCACCAAAGGAGTGATTCTCTTTTAATTCAAGAAGTGAAATTTCCTTGGACAAATATAACCTCAAAGACATTAGGAAATTTTACTTTATTTTCCTTAATATTCATTTCAGGAGAAATTGTTGCCTATGTAAGTATCTATGTGTTGCCAATCAACAGCGCTATCAACCCGATACTCTACACATTTAGCACACTTCCCTGGAACAAGCTATGGAAGAAGTGCAAGTGTAGATCGGCACCACCACCCCCGCCACCACCACCACCGCCACCTCAACCACAACCGGCGCCAACACCAAGGAACACAAATGACACAGCAGCATTGGCCATGATAAGCACTAAACTTTGAATGTTCAAACCAAATGACAGAGCTATAAGTCAAATATACAGAGTAATCGGTGGTCACTAGGCGGTGGGTGACACTCAAACAAGATAGACACGTGATAGAACTATCAAACACTAGAAGTAGAATGATATGCAAATGACACAGCAACATTGGCCACGATAAGCACTAAACGTTGAATGTTCAAACCAAATGACAGAGCTATAAGTCAAATATACAGAGTAATCGGTGGTCACTAGGCGGTGGGTGACACTCAAGCAAGATAGACACGTGATAGAACTATCAAACATTAGAAATAGAATGATATACCAGTGCAAATGACACAACAGCATTGGCCATGATAAGCACTAAACTTTGAATATTCGTACTAATGTGAACGAGCTATCAGTTGAAGAACTATTAGTTCTAAACTTTGAATGTTCATGTCAAAGTGGTAGATCCATCAGTTTGGAAACAAGGTGATATCGCGGCCTGTTGTTAATAATAAAGACATATGTGACACATGTGTCTTTACATGTCCAAGTGATAGAACTTTTAGACAAATGAAACGACAGGATCTGGCATTATAAGCACTACACTTTGAATGTTCGTGCCAAAGTGGATGATCTATCAGTTTGGAGACATGGTGATATCGCGGCCTGTTGTTAATAATAAGCACATATGTGACATCTGTGTCTTTACATGTCCAAGTGATGAATTATTAGCACTAGCATGAACCATTTTTATATAATACTGACCAAGTGATTGAAGTTTTAGTAAAACAAATGTGGTGATTACTTATGAACACTAGCATGAAACATTTGTATCTATAGGTTTAGGTGATATAATTATTAGATACAATAAATGGGGTTAGATACTATGGACATTAGCTGACATTTAAAAGAAACGAGAAGATGAATTCTGAACACTTATAATAGCTTGTAATAATTGTGTCTAAATATTCAAGAAGTAGGACTTGCTGACACAAGAAATGGGGTGACGAGTTATGAACACTAGCATGTAACATTTGTGTCTATATATCCGAATGATAGATCTTCCAAAAGAAACGAGGTGATTTATGAACGCTACATTTGTGTCTATAGGTCCAAGTAAAAGAACAAGAAAAAAGAAACGAGGTGATGAATTATGAACACTAGCATGTAACATGTATGTCTGTATATCCAAGTGATAGACCTACCAAAAGAAACGAGGTGATTTATGAAGGCTACATTTGTGTCTATAGGTCCAAGTAAAAGAACAAGAAAAAAGAAACGAGGTGGTGAATTTTAAATACTAGCATGTAATATTTGTGTCATTTATTCAAGAAATAGAACTATCACACACAAGAAACGAGGTGATGAATTATGAAAACTAGCAAGTAACATTTCTGTCGATGTCCTGTGTCATTCAAAATTTAATAAAACATGGCTATTTGGGATTAATTTATTTCATACATCTGTGAATGACATGAACATTAAATATATTTAACAACTTCTTTAACGACATGCTTATTAATTTATTTTAATGTTTTGACGGACTATGAGCCTTTATCCTCAAGCCAAGTTCACACCAACGTCGCTTTGATGGCGCTTTAATGCGGCGTGCAAAGTCTTTGGGGGGTGAACTTAGCTTAATAGAAACATTGCCCATACTACGCAGAGATGCCTCAAGTATCTCTACGTCTCAACATTTTCTCTGAACCCGCTCTAGAACCTCTCAAATCTTCTAAAAAGCACGACAATATCATGGTGCACGTCGTACACACCCGTCACATCGAATACTTAAGCTAAGTTCACACCAACGGCGCTTTGATGGCGCTTTAAAGCGGCGTGCAAAACCGCTTTGCACGGTGTAAAAGAAATGATGGTCCCCTAGGAATGAATATCCCCCGGAATGAATATCCTACGGACTGGGGTTCCCAGGGATTTAGGTACAAGGGGGACCATTATTGAAATGCAACTCTAGGACCTTTATCCCTAGTATTCATTGTCCTACTAGTATGTTATATATAGTGTCCCTAGGACAATTTACACCGAGGGGACAACCATTTCTGGCTGGATGGATAGACGCGCAGGTTAGTACTATATATAATTATTTGTTAGATATCGTTTCCCATCGTTCTAGGTTCGGATCCTCGTCAAAGCGCATACATAATTATTCTTGTGTGTCTTTTTATTCATGTGTATATATAAAGGAGACATTATTTGTTATCATCAATCTTCTTTAATGTTTGGAATCATGCAGAGCTGGACCCTATGCTATGCTTAAGGTGAAAGCACATATCCAGGCCTCCTATACTTCCAACAACGCGAACATCAGTTCTGATAACGCGAACTACGTTCCTTGCACTCGAACCACGAATCTCATATCGCGAACGTGAAATCCTATGTCGCGCACCACCATTTCCTTGTTTCCGAACATATTTCTCGAATCGCGCACAGAGATCCGTAACCGCGAATCATACATCTGATACAACAAAAAGTCAGTAATTTTGTTCGTATACACGCATAAGTAAAATTCATACGAAGTGTTTTCATATGGAATTCGGAAGAAATATTTTACCAGTTTTTCATGCATATGAATGAACATCCACTCATTGAAGATAACAGCATTTTCAATTCAAGCTCTAGGAATCACAACATATTGGGACTACCTTGCGATCACGCGCATTGACATCTTCAGTGAAAGGGCTGGGTAATAACAACAAAAACAAAAACACCATGGCTTTTGAGTGCGGAGATTTTATGAAACTATTGAAATAAGGTATGTAATTATGTGTACATGTACAAAAATGGGTCAATGTAAACTGCAACCTGACTCATTGTTGCTACAATTATTGGCTATACAATAATACACTGTATCCAATAAGAGCCTTGTTGCAGTATACAAAATATTTATAAGAATTTTTCGTGTTCAAAAGTTATTCGGGTTTATGTAAAAAACGGGTAAAAAGATATATAAACAAATTGTATGAATTTTTTTTTCACAACTATGGTATTGTTTTTCTGATTCGTGCCTCAAGTTTCACCATTTTAAAATCTGGCTAATATCTTGAACATTTCTTCTCGAGCAGAGATCCTTCGTCCTAAGTAGCCGCATATAAACTTGAAACCATATCTGTTAATTTGTTTTAGAGCTATCAAAGATTACATGTTAACGATAAATTGGAGCAGTTTTGATAAATAATAGCCATCTTTAAAACATGCATCTTATTCAGCAGAACTTCTTTATTTCTAAACATCAGCATATAAAATCAAATCCATCCACTGGTATTTGATTAATCAAAGATAATATTTTTTTATAAAAAATGCAGCCATTTTGAAATTAAGCTGTCATCTTAAAAAGTTCTTGTCAACAGGGTTCCTTTGTCCCTAGGCATGAGCATGTAAAATTTGAACCTTATCCATCTACTGATATTTGAGTAATCAACGATTACATTTTTTACGAAAAATGGGAGACATTTTGAAATTTAGCCGTCATCTCGGAAATTCTTTTTTGACCATAGCTACTGTGACCCGAGTCATCAGCATTTAAAATTTGATCTAAATCTGCTCACTTAAATTTTAGTAATCAACAATTACATGTTTTTACGAAAAATGATGGTCATTATGAATTTAGCGGCCATTTTGAAAATTACTTCTCAAGTAGAGGTCCTACACCCATAAGGCATAATCCTATATATTTTGAATCAAATTCGTCAACCGGCCCGGACAAACGAAAGAACGGACGGATGGACGAACTGATGGACGAACGCACTGACGGCTTCTCTATATCCCTACGAACCTTGTTCAGTGGGATTATAACCAGTGAGAATCCCATAAATAAAATTGTTCGAACATATCCAACAGCCCCGATAATGGATTAGGGGAACATGGGCCAAATTAGCCCTGTGGGGCAAAGTGGTGCATCGAAATATGTTTTAAACGATCCAAAGATTGCTCTTCAAAAGTCACATGACAGATTTGATATTTTGGCCATCTTCTTGATATCCATTTTTAATCTAGCAATGTTATACTTTTGCACTCTTTTTTTGCGCCCTTCCATGGTTACCGTTACAATCTAGAATTGTTTTGAACAAACCCCGACAAACCCTTGGATAAAAAAATCACACGAACTCCCAAGAAGTTCAAAAGTCTCAGTCACCCCCCGCGCTTTATTTGACAATGTGAATAAAAACAAGTATGGTAAAATTAGTGACAATTTTTTCCAATTTTGTCAATTGGAGCTGATTATTGCATCATAATGAATAAATGAATTACCCTATGTACAACATTCCTGATTTTACAGAATACGTGTGCTATATCTGTAGCTTCAGCCACTGATAATTTGAAGATGCTACCCTATGCCTGTAA